CAGCAGTCAAACTGCTCATCTCAGATGACAAGTAGGGCATCTCAAGAAGGATCATACTAACACATCAGTATCTAGCCAGCCATACCAGCTAACCGGGGCCCTCTGCTGAAGCTGGTGCTACGCAGAAATTGTGGTAACCATTTGAACTTAGTGCCCCAAAATAAAATGATACAATCCATGCTAGCAGCCAGAGGGGAACACCAGGAACCAGTTCTAACCAGTATAGTAGGTGGGCAGAGTCGGCCTCCACAGGGTTCAAGGCTAGGTGGTTGTGTCAGACACAGCAGCACAAGCAGAATACAGGACAGGAGATCACATTTGCTAAAAGTTCCAGAAAGTTCTGAGCACAGAGCCAAGGTTAGCCCTTTAAATACCACGTGTGACAAGTTCTTGCCACATAGACAGAATACATGGACATACGGATAGATGTGATCTCACTACAGAGCAGTGACTCTTGTGGAAACCTGTTTTTACCTTCAGCCTGCCTTCTCTGCACCTTCAGATAGACTCTCAAAGGGAAAGTAAAGTAGTATACTGTGGCACAAGATAAAGTGCTTTTTTTCTTGCTACCCTGCTCTCTGCCAGCACATGCATGCAACAGTCACAAGCAGGGGTGAACAGAGCTGACCCTTCCTAGGTTCCTTGAAAGACAAGCCATAAGCCCCACATCTCTTCCCCACTGAGGCTAGAAGCACAAGTCACAACTGGCGTTGTCTGGAGACTTACAGTTCTTTGGACATCTGGGAAAATTTGAGCATGACCATGTATGCTGAGCAATGGAGTTGAGACTAAGAAACAACAACTGCTTCCCACAACCTTTGGATCCTTCAATAAGCCAGGGGATAGGTTTTATGTAAAGAACCTGCCCCTCCCTAAGAAGTCTATCACACACAGCTCTCCCCTTTATGTTGTCTGTACTTGGAAGCAATACGAATAACATGATCACAATACTAGTCTTATGCCACAAGAGGGACCTGATTATCCATGTAACTTAGTACAAGCCTCAGCGTTAAGAGTGTCAGAAGTGACCATTTGAGTAAGAGTAAGTGTTCATGTAGCCCAGTACTCTGCCTTGACCCATAGCAAGAGGAGATGCTACCTAGGAAGAGCATGCCCGGACACCTAAATATGGTCCTTTCCCATCATACACCCCCAGCATCTATGGTCCCTGGATGGTTTGTAGGGATGTTAGAGGCCACATCCCTGACTATTCCTCCTTTTAATAAACATTTACAAACCTGTTTTCCATTTGTTTGTCCAATTCATTTTTGAACTGCTGATACTGCCTGCCTCCCGTGGCAAAAAATCCAGCACTAATCACTATGCAAAGAAGTATGTTCTTCTAAATGAAATTTATACTGGTCTCACTGACTGTCCCTCACCTCTGCTGTTGCAGGATTTAGGGAATAACAGTTCTATGTGGACCTTACTCACCACCTTCCTGAGTCCATAAAGCTCCCTTATATTTTTCCCTCAGTCTCCTCCTCTCCAAAATCAAGTCTAAGCTTTCCTAGTTTCTCTTCCTAAGGCAGATACTCACTTTCCTTTATCATGTTAGTTCTCTGTACTTTCATACTCAAGAAGGACACAGTGGAGTTAGAGGAGACCAGAACTGCACACACCAATTGAGGCACATCAAGGATGTGGGCAGCAGGAAAACTACATCCTCTATCTTATTCTCAGTATCCATTCTGAGGGCACCTAAGTTTTGCTGGATTTTCCAGCTGCTGCACAATATGCTGATGATTTCACAGAAGTGCTGCTTCATCCACATCACAGCTAAGTATCCAACTTGGATACCCCCAGTCGCCAACATCTTGCAGGTACTTCCCATGACTTGTTTCAGTTCTTCAGACAAAAAGGAAAAATACATCCAGAATGGACCATCCCATACAAATGTCCATGCCAGGGATGGCAGACTAGAGGATAGTTTCAGCTTTGATCTTTCCTGTGACTGATTAATCAAGACGTCATTAGATGGTGAAATGCAAATATACAGTATGTTAGAGCTCTAAGTGTCACAGAACTGTTCACTCTGGGTTATTTTGGAGCAGCCAGAAAACACAAACTAGATAAATTTGGCTCTTGTATGTCCATACACAGCCTTCTTACACACCACAAAAGGCTCCAAACTCACAACTTCCAAATTTTTAGCCCGTCTTCCTTGCCAAATAGCTATTGTACAATTTATAGGAAGATTGTGCCAAGAGAAAACAAAGCAGATAAGAAAATGCATGGACAAAACATTCACAGGAAGACATTACAGTTGAAGACAAACCAATCACTTGACAAACCACTTCAACACCTTCAGAGACAGGAGAGAACTAGACTAGCTAGTACCAGATTAGCTAGTACCAACCCTCAGCAGATGAAAACCATTCTCAGTCAGAAAAGGCCTTAGCAGAAAGACAGTAGAAGGGGACATGCTTCTTTAGAAAAGATTTGGCTCCTGTTACCTTCTTCTGGCGGTAGAGGATTTTCTCCAGCTCCTGCTCTTTGCTGCGCAGTTCCTTCTGGAGCAGGTTACTCCTGTCATGTCTCAGTGCTTCCTGCAGAGGTAAAGATACACAGCTGTGCATACAACACCCAGCACGGTAAGAGCTGTTCCTTGGTCAGATGAGCCACCACCTCTGCTTCAGACCAGAGAAAGTTTGACTTCACCCAAGAGAGATGAGGTACCTGGCAGATCAGCCTCTCCCTTTCTGCTTTGATCTGTTGCTCCATTTCTTCATAAAGGCACCTGACTTCTCTGTCATGGTCTGTCTCCTTCCTACAAAAGGCAGGGTGTGCACAGGTCAGGAGACAGAAAGAGAATACAGAAAGAAAACAGGCGAGGAGGGTGGAAACATATTTCCACAAACAGCAGCGTGGCTTTGAGTGGGATTTTAACCAGACCAAATGTTACAGGTCAGCACTGATGCAAAACCAACCCGTGGGGATCAGATCAAGATAAAGAGTAATTTTATTACAGCAAGAAAAATCTCTGCGTCCTGTAATCCAGTCTATCCTTGCATTTGAGGCAGCATCCAAGCATCAGCTGGTTCCTGACAGTGAACGACCATGATATTATCCTTACCGCTTCAATGCCTGTTCCATAGACTCCTTCTCATGATTCACCTCCCTTATGTACGATGAAACACGCAACAGAAACTCTTCAAAATTGGGTAAGAGCTCCGGTCGCTCCTTTCGTAGACGAGCCCAGAGCTCCCGAATCTCATGTGGACTGAAGCAAGCATACAAGAGAGAAGGAAAGCAAATGAGTTTCTGTGTCATCTTATGAACTGTTATTCCAACTCCAACATGCAGTCGGGACAGACAAACTGCCCTTCTCCAGTGATGACTTCCATTACACCATCATAGAAAAGAGGGAAGTTGGACAGTGAAAGCGTGCATGTGGAGTGATTATCTACTGCAAGGTTAAAATAAAGGAGGTCATCTGAAAGAGGAAAAGTCATCTAGGAAACAAACCTAGAATGATTGTTTTTCAAATATTCAGCAATTACATGTTTGATGTCTAAATCAAGACTCAGAGAGATGAACATTCAGCAAATTTGTTGTGAACTATGGTCAAGCAGCAAACTGTTATAGCCCAGGAATTTTAGCACACATCACATAAGTGGTGTTCTCACACCAGGATGCTAATGTCCTTATTATTTATTTATTTTACAGGGTTGGAAACTGAGGCACAATCAAAAGAAGCAAATTGGCCCAGGTGTCACATCAGGATAATAATGGAAGAAGCCCTGGAAACCGAGTCTTCTTTTTCTGAGCCTGCCAATAATGTTTACACTCTTTTGACATTTAATTCATCGCAACTTAAACACAGCACTTACATATCATGTTTCTTTTTGGGAAGAGCTTTTTATTATTTTTAAAATTTTTTTTTTTTTTAAATCCATGACGTACTTTGGAGGAACTGCCTTGAAATGTACAGAATAGTTATACCTGTAGACATTATCCAAATAGATATTTTTCTTTGTCTATGTATTTTTCTCCCTTAATATTCTTTGTGAAAAAAACAAACAAAAACCCCAAAAGCTCTTGATTCCCCCTGCCACCATTGCATGATAACCTCCTTTTTCTGTCCCAAGTTGAAAAAGTTACTAGTGCTTCATCAAAGCTTCATGTTTTAGATAAAAAGCCATATTGAGTCCTCTCAAACAAAGCCATGTCTTTCTAGCAAAAACAGTGAAGCTAGTTCAGACTCCTGCTCTGACTTCAGTTAGCCTCTGTTTTATATTACTTCTTCACAACAGCTGGCTTGGAACAAAGGCATGACATGACTGAACCCATTGCATACAACTGCAAGTGGTCAAAACAAAACACAGGATGATTGCACTTTAAAGACTTGATGCTTCTCAAAGCAGAGTTGTAAACAGCAGAGGCTATTTTACCAGAACAGTATTATGGCCTTTCACAGTGTCATTCCATTATTTGAGGCATAACAGCTTTCCAGAACTTTCAGGACAGAAGAAGTTGTTTAGCATTAAAAGAAACAGGCAGGTGCTTCACATCACAATGCAAAGGAGACACAAAAATCTGTTTCATGGCAGATGCAGCTCTGAAAGCAGCAAACTCCTTCACTCTCAGCTTCTGTCTCTGATCTTGTCAGTCTCCTGACCCTGCCTGGGCAGCTCCCTGCAAATTGGCAGCACTGTTGGACTATGATGCCTGAAAAAACGGGCTGCTACAGATGCTGTTGGGCACCCCAGCCCCAGCACATGTGCATCAGTAAGAACCAGCTATGCATAATCCTTCACTTGGGAAGGCCCTAAAAAAAGGCTGGATGACACTGGGGCCAGCAGACTCTAGGGCATTAATATTAAATGTCAAGGTTCACGTGAGCATCCCTTGCCCAGTTTAGCTTTTCACACTCTTCAAGATCAGCCGACTCCCAAACAGCCCCTTGAACACAGATCTTTCACAGAGACTCTTGTAACTAAGTTTGTCTGAACATATGTGAACAGTCACCAACAATTTTGGAACAGACAGCACACTCATCCTCCTTACCTTGTCTAACCCCCACATGCTTCTTTTCATTTGCTGTGTGCAGATGGGCTTCCACGCCACCAACTGCTACATTTTACAGCTGTGGTATAAACTATAGTTTGAGACACTCTTTGCGAAAAGCACTGAACTAAAAGTAATTGTAAACTGATGAGAAAACCCAGACTTCACTGCATTTGTTACCAAGCATATGAAAACCCAAGACAGAAGTACAGAAAGCCCAAGCATTGCTTCAGAGAGCAAACAGCTCAGTTCACCTCTTTCGTCTTTGCTCGTACTTTGAAGTTTTGGTATTGCAAGATCAAAACAGGGTAGAAGTAATGCCATGCAACTCTCCTACTTACTCTTCAAACATGTGGGCTGCTCCAAGCTGCTCCATCATGGAACAGAATCGTTGCTCTTCATCATCATCTGCTGGGTCCAAGTCATCTGACCAGCCTGACTCAAAGGTCTCCTCATGCCTGGAGTGATCCATTCTCCCAGCCCCCTGACACAATTCAACCCCTATTAACTTTCCTGGTGGAAGGAAAAGGGAAGGAGAATAAAGTAAAACTGGATGTCATTTACTAAGCTGTTATTTAAATGGCAGCCCGATAGAGCTCCATGAGAAGCTGCCTGCACACTGCTGGTGTAGAATACAGCTCCTGGTCAGTAAAGAGCCTCCGTTCTGACGTCCTGAGTGACGTCAGTGTCCAGTCTGCAACACTGGGACTGAAACTGGTTCCCAGCCCACCAACAGGCTGTTAGGGCTTTGCTCACATCTGCATGAAGATGATCTACCACCCACGACCTTGGATTCTCAGCATGTGAAGCATGCAGCATTAGGCCACTTCACTCCCACGGAGCAGTGCTGTGGATTCAGTTGTCAGTGATCCCATAAGCTCCCTCTGGGACTGCAAGGCCGGCACTGAATAGCACCATGTCTCAGTTCCCCAGCTTAAAAAAAGTGAGGAGGAGATCATTACCCTTGCCTTCTCATGTGTCACATCTGTTCTGATTCAAGTGCTGTGGGACAAGGACCACCTCTCGCCAGGATTGTGTAGAGTGTCTGAACAAAATTAACTTACTCTCCAAACATGTCTTCCTGCCCCATCCCACATACAGATGGCTTCCAGCTATCTGGATCCTGTTTCATGCTGAGATACTAATGCCATGAGAACTTCATGCTGTGCAAGGCATGTGACAAATACTGGTGCTGGGAACAAATTCTCCTCAAAGAAACAAATCAAGCAATCTTATCCAAAATGCAGGCACTCATCCCGTATACAGAGGTCAGACCGCCATTAGCAGCTACTCTTCCTTTCCAAAACATACCTGCTTGGTTCAAAAGGCAGAAATGACATCCCAGCTACAGGGCCAGGATCCAAGGGTGTTCAGAGCACGGATGAGAACGTGAAGCTGCTATAAGGAGAAAAATATCCACTGTTTGTGTACCTCAGGTCACTTAACTCAACCACTTCTTAGCTCTGTATGTCCAGAACCTAGCCACGACTCTCCCGCTCTTAAAATGTGCTGTAAAAAAAAACTTGCAGTGTGGAGATGCAGGCCCTACTCAGCTTAAAACCTGAGGCTCAGACAGTTATTAGGGAGATGGGCTTAGATTAGGCACTTTGGATGTCTAGAGAAAGAGTCGTTATCTCTCATTATCTCACTTTTACACATGGGAAAATTGAGGTAAAGAATGATCTGAAGGTTGTTTTGACACCCCAGAAGGATCTCAGGTTGCTTTGAATTGAACATTTTAAATGTATGCTCTTTTGTCGGTTGTGCAGATGCACCCTGTAACCTCTCAGAAGCTGCGCAAGGAGCCCTCTCAAGAAGCAGAGTCACTTGCAGCTTGGACCACTTCCCTTGATTTACCCCCTGCACACGCCAGAAGGAAGACAGCAATATGCCAGGTCAAACTCTTGAGTTTGGGGCAAAGTCTGAAAAGGATTTCAATAAAGCCAGACACAGAGAACAATCATAAAGAAAAGAAATAGAGAAATGAAGTATTTTGCTTAGACTGGAGCAAGCCCCGTGGAGTCAGGCTACCAATACAGGGTGGTACCTGACAACTGGTGGCTGACACAAAAAGAAATCTTGCCTACCTCTGCCAGCAATGACACCAAGGCAGATACTCTCATGATGTCCATCTATGGCTCTGGTGATTCTCAAACATCAAACAAGGAGATTTGGGAATCACCAAGCCATAACACAGAGGGCACTGTGGATGCCAAGGTGGCATCCATTCACCTTCTACACAGCGCTGGGCAGGAAAGCCCATGCTCCAGGGATGACTTTTGTTCCTGGCAAAGATGGCAGAACCAGCCAACAAGGCTTCACCCCCACAGGCAGGGACACAAGGCAGAAACAGGTACGGTCATCAGGCACTCAGTACCTTAACACATTCCCAGAACAGGCTGGCCCAAGACATAGCTTTCCACATTCATTCCGAGGAAATCTTTACAGCTTCTCCTTTCAGGGCTGGCTGTTTCTGGCCATTCAAATTGAAGCACCAAAAAGATCCCCCTCTCTCCAAGTTGTGAGAAAGCCAAAAGCAACCACAGTCTACACAATCAGGACACTGCAACTCAAGAGCCTCCTCAATCACTTCTGAAAACCCTAGGTCACCTGTGTTCACTTGCTTTGACCTGATCCCACGAACACATCTACATGTCCAAGGAAGGCACTAACAGGGTGCAGATTTTCTAAGAGCTTACAACCAGCCAAGACAAGTAAGCATCTATGGCAAAGGTTGTTAGTGCTATGGTTATTCTTCCTCCTTAACACCTATTGCACTGCTTGTGCTGCTGGATAACAACTCTGGTATAGGATTAGCATTCTCCTATTGTTTGTAAAAGGCAACAGCCAAGAGGAAAGCAAAAGCTCATTTGCCAGTGTGCTAGACTTACTAACAGGACTGCTACTAATAATTTCCTTGAACATCACTGCATAAACCAGCTGAAGACAGTTGCCAAGAGGAATATTTCTGTCCCTTCATCCAATAAGGGTCCTTATTCAGACGAACAACTGTGGATCACATGGCCAGATATAGGCTGCAGTATGTACCGTCTCCAGTAGAAGACATTCAGAGGCTGGCTTCACCAGGTAGGCAGGTAACAGTTGTGGAAGAAGACAACAGGAAGAGGGATAGCAGTATTGCACACATGTTCTCCAATGATATTCACATAAGCATGGGGCATTGCCTTGCATAGCTGGTACAGCTTCAGCAGAAGCACTGCACTTTCTTTCTTAACAACATAAAACATCATGTTACAGGCAGGTTTTTTCCTTCCTATGGCTCTGTGTTGTCCTTACCTAGTCCCATGCTGAACTCCACAGGTGTCAGATATCCGTTATTGTTCTGTTCCAAACTGTCAAAAACAGTCTCCAGCTGTTCAAGGGTTAGGGGGAGTTCACTCTGGAGCCTCTGCAGAGTCAAAAGAATGAACAAAATTAAGACATGACTCAAGTCTTCCCTGTGACTAGCTCCTGTCCCTGCCATCCTCAGATTTGGCCTACAGCGATGTACCCTTTCAGCACTGCATCCTGGCTGGGATGCAACAGCCTGCCATATAGCTGAGTGATGACACAAATGGCTGTTTGGACCCACTGATATGGCAATGCTTTCCATTACTGGATGATTCAACCAGGACTGCAGAGAGACCACTTCAGGTCATTTTGTTTGGAGGGAGCTCAACTCTTTTCCTCCCCCACTTCACAACCGCTATCTCTTAGTTCACTGCCTGCCTCCCTCCACCCCTGCTCAAGCCCTGCCCAAAGGTGGCTGCACCCCAGGGGCATTGCCAGCCTCCTGTGACCACGTCTGCTCCGAGGAGAGCTCTCCGTGGGCACATCAGGTACCAGCTCCATCTCTTTGGCCAGAAAGGGAGGACAGACTTGTGAGCATCTGGATTCAGTTCCCAGCTCTTACAGGAAATCTTGCAGATCATAAACAAAGCGTTCAGTCCATAACTGAGAGTTAGGTTTCTTCTATCATCTTCAGCCTGTTGGGATCATATCACTATTCCCACAACATAGACAAGGAGCAGAGAGATTTCCCTTCATAATGCATGTAGGGAGCACCTAGTGTGAAGGGGCACCCAAAGAAGCTTCCAAATAACAAGACTAAAAGCTCATTACTGTCCATTAAACACGCAGCTTTAGATAAAAGCTTAATAAATATTTATTAATGTAACTGTACAAAATTAGGCATCACACAGCCTAAAACAAAGTGAGTCAATAATTAAACAAGCATGAACCTGCCAAGTGTTAATTACCAATGGAGGGAGAGATGAGACCGAACAAAAACAGTCTGCGTGTAACCTTCCTGATAAACCATTAAAACAAAACTCACAAAGAACTACAGAGACTGTTAACAAATACTGTTTTTAACAGAAAGCAGCAAAACACATTATTCTAGAACAAAGTTATAGTTCAGGTCTAAAGTGAGTTTTTGAGACCAGGCTATGATTGAGACAAAAAGTTTTACAGCTTTCTTTGTTAGAAGGCTGAAAGGTTGACGGATTTTTTCATTGTTGACTGTGGTGGGGTTGGGGGGGAGGGTGTTTTGCTTTTTTAAATTAAACCAAAAGGTTTTTTCCTCCCAGATTTCCCATCCACTGCATGCTTAATGTTTGTAGGATGCAAGTTTTTTTTTATTGTATGCATTCCTTAAAAACTTGGAATTGCAGTCCCACTTGTCCCAGGAATTGCCTGGAGGCCCAAGGCGCTCCTAGGATTTTTGCTTCCTAGCAGCTGGCTGTGGCAGTTTGGTTCCCAGAAATCTGAATGAGACCGCATGCACACCCACGCTTGCCAAAAGTAAAGCCATGCCACATTCTCCCCTCTTCTGCCACCCATAGCTCCTCCCAGGAAAGGGGAAGGACTTTTTCCCTCACCTGCATGTCCACCTTGGTGATAAAACCCTTCTCGTCCTTGTCACACAGCTGGAAGAGCTCCCTTGCCTTTTCGAGCATCTCCACCTGCACATCTTCCAATTCACCTATTTGGCTGGAATGAGAAGCACCAGGAGCCACCCCATCCTCCTCATCCCCTTCCCCTTCTCCTTCCCAGCGGACGTATCCCAAGAGCGCTCCCCGCTGGTTCTCCATATTTTCAAAGTCTTTTCACCCAGGGCAGGGGCAAACCGAAGAGCTGCAGGGCAGGAAACAGAGAAACCCCAGTCAAACATGACCCTCCACTTCCACCCCACACATCATCTAGTTATGTGCCTTGTTGGTTTGAAAGAACAATATTCAGCACCCATATCTGTTACCGAGGGGAGGGGGCAAGACAGACGGTGTGCAAAGAGTTTGTGTCATAGGTACACACCGTACACAACATGGGCATAACCAAGCCTACCGCACAGCCATAACCCTCCACGCTGTGATAGGCTCCAGATCCTGCACCAGGCAACGATGCTTTTTGGCCATCTCTCCTTCTCTGGCTCAGACCTACAGGGCAAAGTTCTCTGCTGGTAAAAGCCAGGTGCCAAGGGAAGGTTTCAGCGAAGATGAGGGGATAGGAAGGGAATAGCATGCAGGCAAACCTGCATGGGAGCATAGTGGTAGTCCTACATTAGCTGAGACAGGGGACTCAAAACACTGCAAGCAGGGCCAGTTCCCAGCTCTCACACAGCTCCCTGGATGCCCTGTCTAGGATGCTTCCCTCTGGTGTTAGTTCTTCTGGTAATAACATGTGCTTTTCTTTCCCCTGTTACTTTTTTGCACCACCTTTGAACACCCAACCTGAATCACAACTGCAAGAACCCAGAGTAGGACAAAGGCAGAGAGGAGGAAGATTTGTGCAAGTGACAAAGGAAAGCGAAGGAATGTCTCTCCAAGCCCTCTGCTGCCCAAGTCCCCTGGCAGGCCTTTCACCTCTGACATTTTCTTGTTAACACTTCCCAGATAGTAACGCCACCTTCTTTCATGTTATTACAGCACAAAGAAAGGTCCATCAATTCCTACACAGGGAAAAATTTAATAAGCTGGGCACTCCTGCCTCCCAGCCTCTGTTTTGTGAGCTCATAAGCTGCCAAACAAAATTTTAATCTGAAATGTTCACCTTTATAGGAAGGAAACCACATGATTATGGAGAGATTTCAGAGGCCAAAGAAAACAATTCCCAATTGCAAGTACCTAAAACAAAAAGGCTAGGACCCCTTTAAGCACAGCACTACAACTGTAAAGACGCATACAACACATCCCTGCCCCAACCCACCTTCCATCTTACTGATGCCTCATAACACTTTCCAACGCTTCTCGGCAACACTGCCACATTTTTTAAGCCTTGTTGCACTGATTGCTTTAGACTTCTCCTTCTGCAGATTTGTGTTCTGCATTGCAGGGCAGAAGTGAGCTGTACAAGCAGGCTGAGAGCAGATTTAAACAGTACTAGACAAAGAGGGCTTGAGGGTTGTTTTGTTTTTTTTTTTTTAATCTCCAAGAAATTAAAAGCCACGTACAGATGCCATGATAACAAACAAGTTAATTTTGTTTGCACTTTTAGTACAATGGGAGGATAAAGAGCATGATGGCCAGAAAGAATGTCACATGCGAGAACTATATGAAGCTGACACAAAAGGAGAAGGCAATTATGCACCACGCTACTTGACTCCGTCTATTACTGCTGGTTTGTGAGCCAGAGGGTGGTTCTGCTTCAAAGAACAAGCAGAACGCTTCACTCCCTATTTCAAATCAGTGTTTTTTCAGGGCACCTCCGTTTAGTGTCACTTGAGAAGATACTTACTTGAAACTGTGCACAGAACTACTTATAAATGGGTACTATTGTATGTTTCTAGTCAAGTAGACATCCCTGGCAAGCAATGGACACAGAGCTGGACACAAGCTTTGGGGAATACTGCAGAGGAAAGAAGGGAAGAGGGCATGAAAAGCAAGAAGGCAGGAGGTGTCTTTCTCTCTTGCTCTTTTCCAAACCACCCCTCCTACCAAGCTTTTTTTTGTGTGTTATGGAGACAACACAGCAAAATTTGGAGACTAAAGCTTGATTCTATCCATTAGCTGGACAGTCAGCTTGCTTCTGATGACAAGTCTGTATGTGTTAGTAGTGAAGAGGTCAGAAAGAACCCCAGCTTATTTCCCACATTCAATTAAAAGTTGCAAAGCTGGCCATGAAAGCTTAAAAAAAAAAAACAAACCCCACCCAAATATCTTATGCTGTATAGATTTTACAGGTCATTACAGTGAAGAATCACATAGATAATTATTGGCTGCTACAGGCCACTTTGCTGAAGCTTTTTGCCAGACCCTTTCCTTCTGCAGAGACAATCTCGGCAGAAGCAGCACCCTGTACCAGACGGTAAGTGCAGGCGGCAGTGGGGGAGGAAACAAAACAGGAGTTCAAAGCAAGAGCCATGATAGGATTGCAGAAAACAGCCAGAATAAGAAAAAGTGCAAATAAGAAATATGTTTTCTCAAACATCCCTCTAGCTGCCTGAGAGACACTGAGGTCCCCAGAGAAAGGATATCTTACTTTCTTGTTAGCAGCTTCATTGTTTCTATTTCAAAAGCCAGAGCAGCCCACGCAGACAATGTCTCCCCAACTCTGCTGCAGCAAACAAAAGGTTATACGAGGAGGATGTTCTGTTCTCTCTTGGAGACATATTTGCAAGCTGAAATTGGACCCATTACATCACTACCTCTAGCATCTCCTCATTTTATCAAAAGCCCAGCTGTACTGTAGCTCCCAAACACTGTCTGAGCTAAAAGTCTCCTAATTAGAAGAGCTGGGAGCCTGACATGGACAAGAGTCTGAGAGGGTTTCACTCACATGTAAGAGACCAAGCCTGTTAATTCAACATTTGGAGTGCAGGCTCTTGTTCAGGCTCCTTCAAGCCAGATGTGGCTCTGTCAATGGTGAGACAGCACTTGTAGAGGAGCACTTTGCCACAAAGTGGCAAACGAGAGCCCCAGTAAGCAGCTCTGATGGACTTCTGTCCCAGAGGCTTTTGACTGAGAAGTTCTTCGACTCCATCCCTGTTTCTAAGCGCATTGCATGGTATGAATGCAGATGAGGCACAAAGCAGATCTCAATCTAGAAAGTGCTGTCACACCTTTTCCCCAGTTACAGATCATCATTGCAGACTGCTGGGGAAGGAGCTTCATCAGCAAGATGCAGAACATCACTGAAGGACAACTTTGAAAGAAGCTGAGGTCACTCCAGTACTAAAACTGGGGACTGGTAGCCAAAAGTGAGGTCAGCAGAGCTGGCTTGGGTGCAGAAAGATCAGCTTGGGAAAAGCCATGCTTGCCTGACACAAGCGGAGAATACAGAGAAGGTAGGTATGGGCATCTAATGCTTTTGGTCAGACAAACCTGCCAGGCTCCCCCAGTGAGATGTAGCCAAGCCACCTCCAGTGACAAAGCCAGGGGTAAATAACAAAACTTCCTAACAGCATTAATTTTTTCAGGTCTCTTCTGCCAGGACAAGGTAGTCAGAGTCAGCACCAGTTAAGAATTAATTTCTGCACATAGCCTGCAGTCAGGACAACCTCTGTATCTTGGGCTGTTGATTTCCATCATAAGAACATCTGCAAGGGGTCCTGGCACAGTTCATCTAGCCCAGCATCTTGCTCTCAATAGTGGCCATGAATGGCTGGTGAGGGAAGCATAACAGCAGGGCAAGCACAGAGGCAGCTTGCCTGAAGAGATCCGACAGCCTCTAGCCACTGTCAACCTGGAGCAATTCCTGAGAGACATGGGTCCTCCCTCATCTTCCAAGATACTTGTCCAGCCTCCCTTTGAGTCCATATGACATTTGCTATTCACATGAATGCGCTGATAGAAACGGGATGCCTGCTGCAGTCAGTGGGTGCTGACGAAGCTTCACAGGACTATTCCAGTTTTCTGGATACATGGTTTGACCAGCACCCACCCCACAAGAGACAGAGTCCCAACTTCAGCTCAAACAAATGCTTCCTGCCACCATCACATCTGGGAACCATGGCAGAGACAAAAAACTGGGCCTGGGAGATCTACCAGGAAGATAGAAGTGCCAGTGCCAACAGGCCCCGATCACCCTGGCCAGCCTCGGTGCTGTAATGTTCTTCTGCAGCCCACTCTTCCCCCACCTCAGGGGTTTGGCTGTCTGTGCTCCAGGTCAGCTCTGACACTGCACAGTCCAGATTTGGGCAGTGTCCAACATCTGAAAAACCTAATACAGAGCTTGAGAGAAAGCCAGTCTTTCTGAACCTGTGGATTATACCAGGTATCTCCTGTCATGGTGTGTGCAGGGGCCCAGCAAGCAAAAATTCACCTGCTCCTGCAAAACAACTTTCCCAGAGCCTGGAAAGCAAACATAGATCTTCTCAGACACAGCACAGGAAATTCAACTGTAAAGACAGCTAACACCAGGTCTTGCATTTCTACACGGCGTAACTCAGACCAGTCTTACGTGCCTATTTTAACCACCTGAGGCATAACTGCAGTTTGTCCTGTGCAAAGCTGTGCCAGAAAGTCAGCTGGATCCCATGGGCATGGCATTCTTTGGGGAAATCACAAGACCTGAATTTTAATCCTGACTCAACTTGCCATATGGCCCTGGGTAAGTCATGTCACCTGCCTATGCTTGTAGATTGTCAGCTCCTCCAATTTGATTCTGATGCTTGTGACAGCTGGCACTTTATTTTAAGACTGTTCCTGGAGACTGATAATTACATGTGAAATTCAAGCATCAAAATAGTTTGAAAGCCTTGAAGCTGAAGAATGAAAAACTTGAACACAGAATTGAAGAAACTGCAAATTTCAACAAACAGAAGAATAGACCTAAGGTGCTTTTCCTGGAAAGGGGAGATACTACTTTCAAGGTAGCGTTACAGTGTCATGGTTTCCAATTTACTGTCTCCGAAGGTAGCAGTAAGCAGTGTTAAAGAGGTAAAGAAAAGTTATGGCTAAAATGCTATCAGCAGCCAAGCCTTTATCTATGTGACCATGACCACCGTGCGCATGTGACAACTTGGGTGTTTTTTCGTTTGTTTGTTTGTTGTTCCCCCCCCCCGCCTGATGACAAGGAAAGGAAAGTGGGGAGCACAGCCAAATCTTGTGCAGCTGGTTCTCAGATGACCCCACTCACGTCAGGGTATTGTACACTGAACAGAGCATTCCTAGCAGTCCTGCCCCAATGCAAG